CTAGGAAAATGGAGCTGCTCAGTCTTCAGTTGCCAAACTGTGAGCGCTCAACAGCCTCTGCAGCGAATGACAAATGCACCTTTTGTGTGTGCCCAGCCTGCTGGCCTGGACATCGCTTCCCTCTCTGTTCCAGTGTCCAGAGCTGCCCGGCCCTCACATACAGTTACATACAGTAACTTCATTGCAGAGCCGACAGCTCCTGTGTTGAGGCAGGGTGAAACAGGGACTGTCCACCCTTGATAGGCTGGGTATCACCTCCTGCAGTGGAGATTTTTGTGTGTCTTGTCTCTAGTGAGTGTTTCCCAGCAAAAGTGGGTGTTCAGATCTAGCAAAAATGAACTTTGAATGTTAAAAAGTTCTTCTAGTGAGGACCAAAAGAAGGGTGTCCTTTTTGTCTAAGGAAGTGAGGGTGAAGAAATGACATCGAGGTGTCAGACTCTTCTTTAAAACACCTATTTCAACCTAGTGTGCCAGACAGTTAAAGTCTCAAAGACTTTATATACCACCAGCTTCACGAAAACAGCAGTTTTCTTGCAGCAGTACAAGGAACAGACCATACTAATGTGTCCCACAGAGGGAATGGCCTTAGCGTGTGCTCAGTGTTTTTTGAGTATTGGAGCACACATTGTTTCAATGCATGGCTTAGAATAACTAGCTTAATCAGCTTTACTATGCATTGAACAACTCGCTGCAAATATTGAAATGAGACTAGGAAGACACATCCATCAGCCTCAGGGTGGACTAGCGATGCCACTTCCCGAGTGTTCCCCTCCTTCTCGTTGCGGCGAATCCCACGTGCTCTAGATCTCCCTGCCGGCAGCTCGCTGAGAGCAGAGGGAGCCACAGCCAAACTCTCGGTGCCCGAGCACTGGAGAAGCAGTGGCAGGAGGTGCTAGTTCCCTGCTAATGATGCTGAGAGCTGCTCCCATGCATGTACTGCCTGCTTCCTGGCACTTGCTCCTCATCAGCAACCAAGCAACGCAGAATCACCAAAGAGAAGTTGCCGCTGCACCTCGCGTTGTGGTGACAGAAGGATGCCAAATGCTGGGACATTCTCCCTTCCTCTCGGTGCTGGATTTGCTTTGCTGTGTGGGAAATAGCCTTGGGATTCATAGACGCTTTTAGTGATGGTTAAACTCTCTTTGCGCCTGATTTCAAGTGGCATGACATCAAAACTGCCTCTCCGTCTCAGAGAGGACAGGATTGCATTCCCAGGTCACAAATCTGAACAGTTCATCCCTTGCAAATTGTTTAGAGTAAAAGTTTGCTTAAACTTACTTTATTACTACAAGCTTGCAGAGACACTTCCTCTGCAGCTGCACTGAGTGTTAGCAGTTGCATTCAATTTCAGCCTCCCTTTCCTATATAAACCCACTGATCCATAGTTATCAGGCAAAGATTTACACTCGTGTCTAGTATTAGTAGCTACTTTTCTGGTAGCTACTGCCACATTAGCACTAATCAGCACCGTGCAAGTTTGCGTGGCTCACAGTGCATGGATGGGGCAAACTTGCAGATCTCCCCTCCCCATCTCAGATTTGAGCTTCTCCTCCCATTTCTTGACTTACAGATGACAGCACTGTTCAGAGCAACGGGATGCCAGGAACACTGAGGGAAAAAGTCCTCCAGGTCTCTTAACTTCTTGTTCAGATCATAAGCCATGGTGTGAATCTGGAGAAACTCTGCTTAGATTAATGAATTCCTCTGTGTTTTCATATTTGCCAATAGGATCAGACTCTGGCTTGTTGCTTGTAATATGAGGAGCTCAGAGGGGAAAAATGATTTTCCCTCCTGCGGAGAGGGTAACTCCACTGTGTTGCCTGTGGTTTTGTTTGCTAGCGAGAGGCATTTGTAAATGTGTAATATAAACAGATCAGCTGCACTTTGAAAAGCTGTCTCTTTTCTCACCTTCCTAGACAGCAGTTTGAGGATTCCAAGCCCTTCCCTGCGCTATCAATCTCCCTCTGTCTTTAAGGGAGTCGGGTCTGGATGCTGTAAATGCTCCCGTGTAGCTAAACAAGCCTGGCTGCAGATTGCCACTCTGGATCCAAAGCCCGGTCAGATATGGAGCTGACCGTCTGCAGCATGAATCAGACCTCATGGGTTAGGTCCTTTTCTGTGAATTCAGTTGCCCTCAGAGGCTGAAAACTGCTCTGATGGGAAATGGTTTGAAATCTTAGTAATTTCTTTCTAGACATTGCTCCTGTGTTTGTGTTCCAGTGTGCATGGGGCTCTGAAGCTTCTACAGAGAGTAAGGACCTGATTTATTTACATGGGTTGTTGCTTATTTTAGTCCTTACATGGAGAAATCAGGCAGAGGAAGCTTCGCTGCATCAGATGCCCTGATGAGAGCCAGGCTGCGTTTCTCAGCGCTGCATGTATATACATTGCTGCTTTCTAACCTTGGGGGCTAAGTTTAATCCAGTCCCCAGTGATGCTAATGATAAGATTTTCATCCTGTCTGGTGGTCCCTGATTAGCTTGTGGCGAGTGCTCTGCCTGATAACTGTCCCCTTGAATTGCTGTTATTTTGCCATAGGCTGGGAGTTCAAAAGACTGCAAATCTCTTCTTTAAAACCACTGTGATCTTGCGTGGCTGTTACACACCTCCTTGTGCGAATAGCTCCGCTGAGAGTAAGAGGTTGGCTGTAGTGGAAAAGGTCAGCGCTGGGCCCTGGGAAAGCCTCAAAGAGTCCGGCTTTTCTGTAGCCAGTAAGTCCCCCATGAAAAGCCTGCACCTGAGCCGAGCTGTTTTGATCTGTACTCTTTGGAATTCATGGCTTTCTTCTGGCTACCTTCTAATTTGGCCTCAGGTCAAAATCATTTGGCAAGAACAACGCTGAGGACAAGTGCCCCCTCTTTTGGCCTTTATCTTGTCTAATTACCAGGAGCATCCCTGTACAATGGAGTGGCTTCTTGCTCTAATCTCTTCTCCTTCTCTTATCTCCAATTTCTCTCCCCTTTCTTTTGTCTTCCAAAATCCCACGCACCAGGATTAAAAGGCTGGGGAATGGGGCAAGAGGATTGTACTGTGAGCTGTGGACAAATGCTGTTCCAAAGCTACAACTCTTATATTGCCCTTTTTTTCTTTTTTTTTTTTCCACCTGCGTATTTGCTGTCTAGAGAAGAGTTTCTGTGAGCCCTAGTCTATCTGTGCTGCTCATAAGGAATAAGAGGGAGTAACCTGCCCTTTCTCTCCTTGTGTCCCACAGGGAAGCCTGTCAGCCTGACTTACCGATGTCCCTGTCGATTCTACGAGAGCAACGTGGCAAGAGCCAACATTAAGCACCTCAAAATCCTCTCCACACCCAACTGCTCACTTCAGATTGTGTAAGTCTCTTAAATCTCTTCAGATCAGTGCAAATCTTGAGCGAGTCACAGAGCTGGTTGCTGCTTCATGGGTTACCCCCTATCATTGCTACAGCTAAGTCTTTGTCTTGTCCAGTGATTTCCAGGTCACCTCGTCACTCCATGAACCAGATGTAGCCAGAACCTGCTTTACCCCACACAAGGGAACCCAGATGGATCTTTCCTAGCTCTATTCTGCCTCTGTGATAATGTGGTCCCACGTCCTGTTTTGCTCAAAAAGAAACAGTGATTTTCAGGAAGATTTTTATGTGTATGTGTTTTAAGAAAACCATTTTGGTTCCCTCTTTTTTATGGGGGAGGGATGACTCCCTTTCTACCCTCACAGAATTCAAAATCTTCAGGAAAAAAGCAATAGTATTCATCTTTTCACTGTGAGGGAGCTTCAGTACTATCAGCTTCTACTGACCTCTGTGAGGGAGTCTCAGTGACTACATTGGGTGCCTGTGCAGTGCTCCTAGCACAGTTCTATCTGCTGACCTCTTCCAGTTCCAGTACAAATTTTGTAAAAGTCTATCCTTTGTCATCCAAAACATTCCTACATTTGGACAATTGGTGTGGTTTCATGAGATTTCTCAGGAATGTGCAGAGTTATTGATGGGCATGTATCCATTCATGAACAAGTATTTATTCATATGGATTCTTTCTTTTTTTAACCCACTGTGAATAGATCACACACATATTCTCATTGTGCCTCTGCCTTAGGATTTGGTGGAGGACAGTGAGAAAAAAATGTAAGTCCCAGCTGAGAAATAATTTCCTTTAGCAAAAATGGCAAAACCAGATGTGAGTAGTTCTGATCTCTACCTATATGTTTTGGGGGCAAGCATCCAAAGGCAAAGAGTGTACGGATTTATGGTCTTCTGGGACTGTCAGTGGATGTCATAAGGGTCCCAGTGCTATGGCTTTGTAGAGGATTTGGAATTATCTGGAGTATTTTCAAGAAAATGTCAGGCTTTAAATGGGATACAGTATGCATTTTTCTCTTGATTAATGTGGGATTACAGTTATTAGACATGGATAAGAGCATGAAATACAGAAAGAGAAGCAACCCATGTTCTCACCCATTTGTGATCCAAACGTGTCTGGAATGTCATTTAATGATACTATAAAACATGGGCCTATAGTTCACCATTGTTTTGTTACATAAAAAAGAGAAGTACCTAAACCAAAAGCTTACCTCCAAATGCCTGTGAGACATCACAGGTTGAAAGTAGGTCTTTACAAGAACACAGGTTGAAATGAACTCAAAACTAACATAATAGAGTCTCATCTTGGTGGTTTTAGCCACACACTCAATTCAGTGTATTATCAAATGAAGGTGTGAGTAACTTAAAAGCTACTGGGAGAATCCACCATTTTCAACACAGAATCCAACTGAAACCATATAGGTTCAAGGAAAGATCTTGAAGTTTTCTTCAAGTACATTTCCTTGGAATTTTACCTGAACAAAAAGCCTAGGAACAGACCTTTGTTGTCATCTCTCCGAATCCAGAAATCTCACTTATGGATGTCTGCTTCTATTAAGCCCAGTGCAAGAAAATAGCACATAATAATTGAATTCTAAATTAGACATGAGCACTCCTTACAAGTGTCTAGTTCTCTCCAGTGACTACAAAGGAGCATGAGCCCAGTGGCTCAGAAATAAATATATCCAAAATATATCCATGTCTGAATGTTGGGTGAGAGGAATTCCACTGCAGGTGGCTGGAGGGTGGTTACGTGTGCTTTGTATTCTCTACGGCCAGCTTAATAGTATTCAGGCACTGCTAACATCTGCAAATTAATTCGCACTTTCTGTTGGCATCACTTTCCTGGAAATACTCCAGATTGGCACTGCTGTAAGGGAAATATGACTTAGGCCCATTCACTACTTCACTGGCATAGGGCTTGCAGCCTGGGTCTTCCAGTGTTTATATTACACCTATGCTGTTACATAACTTCAGAGCAAGGAGCCTTTTGACCTGTTACTTCTTACACTGTATTTTTATACTCTTTGAATTTCTTTTTATAAAGATGGGAATATTTGGCTCCCATCCAACAAAGTACTTAAGCAAGTGCTGAACTTACTCCTATGGACATTTTCATGAAATTGCTGTTCTTGGCACTTTTACATGGTAGGCTGCTTAAGGGGAAGAGGCTGAATGCTTAGGGAGAAATGAAAGATCACAGCACTCCTAAGAAGTCCTGAGATCCCTGAAGGGTGAGACTGCTGCCATCAGTGAAGAGCTTTTTGTACTATTTCTATCTGAAACATGTAGATAACCTAAATCGCCAGGCTGTCAGGAGTATTTTGCTTCAGATAGGTGTATGGGTGTTTTCTTTGCAACACAATCAGATTAGCTGTAATTTCTGTTTTTTAAAGTATAGCTTGGACATTCAGTAAATGAGAAGAAACCCGTAAAGAAGTTTCTGCTTTTATTTTTTCTAGTACTGACTGGAAATGAGGGAAAACTTGCCTCTTGCACTGTTGTACTTCCTGTTCTCTTCCTGCCTGCAGTCTACTGAACTAGGAGATGTAAACTAGAAAACTCAGATTGAGGTTCTTCATCTCTTCATCCTAAGTGTCCCAGCACAGACTCCCGGGAATCAATATGAGAGGGGACAAACTGTATCAGTCTTTCAAACTTGGGAAGTTTCATATTAGGTCTCTTTAGGATAGAAAGGATATCCTAGCCTCTTCATAGGTTATCTGAGAGCAGCACCAGAGCAATGAGACACTCCATCATTGTGCATTATAAAAGTGCACGTGGCAAACCTGTGTGCCAGGTAGAGCTGGGGAATGTGGGCTGAGAGTGTTGCACACTAGACTCACTCTAACTCTTTTCCTTTGACAGTGCAAGGCTCAAGAACAACAGCAAGCAAGTATGCATTGATCCCAAGTTAAAGTGGATCCAGGAATATCTGGAGAAAGCTTTAAACAAGTAAGGCAAGAGACAAATGGACTTAACAGCTAAAAGATCCTCAGTTTTTAAAGGGTAGAACATTAAGGGCTGGCTTTAACCATGCGGACAAGTACTCGTGGAATCAGATATTGATTTGAAGATGGGCTTGGAGTTGACCTAGTTGATCTGTATTAAAACACCAGCTTCTAGTATATCCTAAATATGTAACTAAGAGCTTTGCTGGGATTTGAGGCAAAAACTGTCCTAATGAATCTGTTATGGGGTCCCCAACTCATCCTCTTTTAAAAAGAGCCGTTCTCCCAAGGAAAATGCTTCCTTTATGCACCCTTTTCCACAGCTCAAACCACAATTACTTCAAAATTTATATTGTTCCAGTTTTTTTGGAGCCCCTTCTCCATGTTACACTGGGAGTCTGTTTGCACAGGTAGTGAAGGCCTAGTGGGTATTAACAATATATTTTTTTTCCTCTGCTGGCCAGTATGGAGTGCTTTTAATATCTGCCAAAGCAAGATGCACTGCCATGAATCAGGCTTTCCCTGAAGAGAAGAGCTAGGGGAACACTTGCCTAGCAAATAGAGAGGTGTTTTTCCGTCTATTTTTATCTCTCTTGCAAGTACTTGTTTATGGCTGTCCTGAGATGGACCCAGTCTCTCTCTGCTGAATTTTACTGTTAGCAAAGAGCAGCACAGAGAACATTTCTGTGCTGAGCTGATGGGGAGGGCTACAGCCTTCCTTGGATGGAAGACGAGACAAGTGATGGGGCAAAGCAGTCCCTTGCCTAAGACCCTCATCTTGGGTTGACCCAGCGAGGACATTTCGGCCAGAAATCCCACCTGTGCACTCAGATTCCCTCCTGCCTTTGCCACCACATTCCCACCCCTCAGTAACCATGCTGAACCTTACCCCTGCTGCCTCTGTTTGTGGGGTAAAGGCAGGGTTGGAATCAAGTTGTCTGCAGGAGGAATGAGGAATTTCTTGCAGAAATCCAGGGAAGAGTCTGACCCCAAGGGGAAACCAGTGCAGGTGGTTGAATGCCTTCCACCATGGGCAAAGGGATACAGGGAAAGAAGTATTCTTCTCCCTCAATAAGCAAGACAAAAATGATACTGGGGCAAAGAGATCCCTCCCTCCACCCCTCTGGGGATCATGTTGGAGCTATGACTGAGGAGGGAAGGAAACCACCTAACAAGCTGACCGTGATTCCAACCCTGCCAGCTCTTCCCATCACATCTGATGCTCAGTGCCTTCCTTGCTGCCAGCACTCAGCCCTGTTGTCCTTTAGGCAAATTTTTCTACAGAGCTAATCTCTCTTAATGTGGCCAGGATGACTTTGGATTTAAGCACAGTTGAACCTAAGAGCAGGATGTGGCCCATGCTGATGATCCTAGGGTCTTGGCTACTTGGTTTCCCAACTTGGAAAAACTGCCAAGCCCATGCCTAAGTTTCTGCTTACTATCAGCCCCAATGAAGCTGTAGGCAGTGATAATCAGTCTTGAAATTGAGGAGGCACTTAAGAAAGGTGCAGTGTTGGGTTATGTGATTATGTGCTCAGATTCTGCCTGCCTCGATTAGGGGATCAGCCCCTCTGGGACACATTCTGCTCTCACTTCCACTGGTGAAGATCTGGGGCCAGTGAGCCAGCACCTGATCTCCAGCCAGATTCTGGCTTTCTTTTTTACCTAAATATAACTCGGAAGCAATTCTGTTAACTCAGTGGATTTCATCCAGGTTTGCCCTGAGTAACAGAAGAGAATTTGGTCCAAACTCTCTTAAATAAGAAGACAGAAATCATACATCTCCATCACCTAATCCTATAATCATGGCATTATTCTCATTTTTTCCAACCAGTAATGCTAGCACCAATGGCATTTTCATGCTTCATAGACAGTCAGGGCTCTGTCTGTAGCATTTTCACAAGGCACGTTTTTCATATATTTTAGTGCACAGCTTTGACTTCTTCAATGAAATGTATTTTGGAATATATTTATAGTGCATCAAACAATTCATATATTTGAATTGGAGCCATATGAATGTTGGTAGTTTAGAACACCGATATCCCTCTAAACTACTAACAGCTTGTAAAATAAATCTATATAGATCTATAAATGTTAATGTAGCTATCAATTTCAATCAGCCATATATTATATTTTTTCACTTGTACTGAAACTGTATGAAATGTGACATTACCCTATATGCACTAGCAATAAAATGGCTAATTGTTTCATGTTATGAAAACCCAATTGTACATGGGAATTTATTTTTCTGGAATAAAATTAATACATTTTGTAGAAAGGGCTCTTGTAATTGCTTAAGTAAAACCCAATGTCAAGATATCCTAATTTATACCAACGTTTCAGTAAAAGGGTATCTTTTGTGTATGGGCAGGAAAAGTTCATAGAATATAGTAGTCCAATACTGTTGACTGTGAAACCAGAGATGGTTTTAGTAGGAGTCATTTTGCTCACTAATTCTGCTTAGCATTTATTATTGCTTTGTATTCATCACATTTCCATGTAATATGCACACTTATGAGACATGAGTAAACTACATTCAGTCTGTCAGGAATCCAAATTCCTTAACTGGCTTTAGAAATCATTGTGCAACTGCTGTGGCCAACATCATTCAACACTCATCCATTTTATAGACAAGGGGCAAATCAACCTTCTTTTGAAATTGTTAACAAATCCTTTTCCACTTTCAAGCAATTCCAGTCATCATTTAAAGTCCAACATTGATTGCCTTTTCCTTCTCCCTTCACACAAGGATTTGTAAAATTGAACATTCATGGAGTTAAGAGAGCTGAAAGTAAACAGGGTTCCAAGAAAGATCCTTGTCCGTTGTCACATTAACATAGTCCCAACTCTAAACTTACCCAGCTTGAGATGTTGGAATCCATTAAGCTCAGCAGTTACTTCTGGCACAGGCCAGTGAGCTGATGGATCTGGAGAAGATAACAGAATCCAACAGGAAAAAGCTTTTCCCTGAGTCCGCTGGGAAAAAGGAAACTCCCAAACGCCAGGGGCTGGCTGCAATGGAAGCCAAGGTCTGCTGCTGCCTTCATCTGTGGTGCTTGTAAATCCAAGTGTGGCAGCACTTCTGTAGTTAACTGATCTCATTCATAGTAACTGAATTACAAGACACCAAAAAGCAGTCTACCAGTACTCCAACCCATGTGTTGGATGAATATCTCGCGTGGTGGGCCACAATGTGGGCAAGCATCCTCACAGCCTCATTCCAAGACTCCATGTGCTCACAGATCCATTACAGTAACTTCTGGCTCTTGTTGGCATCAGAGGGAATGGTGGGTGGGAAGCCAGAAGTACAGCTGCCCTCTGCTTTCATTTTACCTCCATGAACACCATGTGGATGGTGAGGCTCCTGGTTTGTAAGTTTTGGCAGGTATTTGAGATGTCCAAGTGTTCGGGGGCAAAAGAGTTGTTCTGGACTCAGAACATGCAAATGGGCTGTCCTTGGGGCACTTTCATTTGCCCACTGTCCCTCTGAGGCAGAGGTGTCTGAATGGGGATGTTATCTTCATTTGTTCCCTGCTAGAGAGATTTGAAGGGACCATAAGATAAATGTAAATAAGACCTTTGTATATAGATAATTTATGGCAGTCTCTTTGTATTTTTCTTTTAATTTAGACCACGTCATCGCACGCATAAAAAAAAGCAACAGAAGAAACGGGGCCTACGCTGCCCTTCCCGTGCAACACCACTAAAGTCTCCAGGGAGAAAGAATGGTAGGAGGCACTAGTTTCTGAGTTGGGAGAACCCGGGTTGAATTCCCTGTTCTTCCACAGACCCATCCTGTGTGATCTTGGGCAAATCTCTTAGCCTGTCTGGGCCTCCATTTTCCCCTATGTTTGCGGAGATAACAACTGTACGCTCCTTCCAAAAGATTATTTTGAAGATTAACCTCTCAAAGCAGGGGGAAAATTCAGTCACAGCAGAGGTGGGGGTGAAGGGGATAGAATATCTTTAAACCCCAGTTCAAATCTGAAGTGTTTAGTTTTGTTTAACCAGGGATGAATTTATCCCAGTTGTTGTAATATGAGGATGATTGTGAACATCGATTTGTTGTTCTCTTGAAGTTGGCCACACTATAATGGCACTGCATACTTCGGTTCCCTAAGAGATACTAGGAGTGCAGCAAAAAGTCTCAGTGTGTCTCACTAAGTTGACAATGATATGTGGAGCAAAGCCTGTTGATTCCTGTCCAGTCTGTACCCCCTTGATTTCCTCCACACAGAGACCCAGGGCATGGAGGGGGCTGGTAAAAGGCATGTTTGGGATCCTGTGTTTTATCCACTTCCAATTTCCCAGACATATCTTAGAACTTTCCCCATGCTTTGTATTGTCAGCAGTGGCTGGGCAGGAGCTGCTTCATCCTTGCAGTCTTCATTATAGAGATGCTGGCTAAAGTCTGTCATCCTCTTTTACAGCTGAGGAAACAGATCTAAAGAGCCAAAATAGCCCTGAAGCAAAGCCAAAGTTAAAAACAGGGTAAAGATTTGGAAGCCCTTTGTTTCTCGAAAGAGGAGAATTTTCTATTTCTGGATGAGCTGTCTGAGGCTACCCTCATGGAGAGTAGCCATAGCTGTCTCTGGCTCTGCTCACACAGTCTAACTTGCCCAGTTGGCATTGAAACAGATGTGTGTTCTGATCCCGTAAGCTAGACAAGGCTTGCTGAGGCATCAGGATTTTCAAATGCCCGGTGTTTACTGTCTTAAAGTAGTTCTAATTCTGCCTTAGTGACTCCATCTAAGTCATAAAAGGCTGATCAGTCTGGAGCAGGAATTGGGGTCACTTCAGACAAAACCTGGAGGCCATCAGTACAAAGTGACCATAGTCTGGCTCCTTGTTCTGAGTGAGCCCCGTACACATCTGCACCCACAGTGCACTCACACTGCCTTGTGATCCTAAACCCACTGCTCTCCCTGGGTACCCTGCTCACACACTGGGCAATGCAACTTGTCTGCCTCCTGCCCTATGCTCCTGTCTTTGCACTGGTGCCTCGTGTTAGCTGTGCATAAGCAGTCCATGGCTGCTTAGCCCCCCTGTGCCCCCCACCTTCCCTGGGCAGCTGCCACCGTGAGCCATGGGCTGCTGGCCAGCTGCTCTGGGCATGTGAGGGTGCTGGGCAGGGGAGAGGAGCTGGGAGGTGATGGCTCCGGCTCCTGGCTGGGCAGCATGCTCAGAGGGGACTCTGTTCTTCAGCCACCCCATCGCAGGAGCTGAACACAGACAGCAGAGCTCGGGCTGTCCCTTACAGCTGACCTGGGGATCCCTGCAGACCTCTGTGGAGCACATGGACTGGCTGCTGCAATCCATGTTCTCCAGCGGAGCTTCGGGTGGGTGGGGAGAGGGCATTCCTCAGGGGAAAGCGTGGCATTCCTAGTGCTACCCATTCCACTCCTGAGGCTGCTCAGGTATGTTTTAATCCCTCCTTTTCCTGCTACGTGTTTTTTTTTTTTTTCTTTTTGCCCACTGATACTTCTCTGCTCTGGCTTTAAAGTCCAGAATAAACTTCCCAGCCAGCCTTTCTCCGAATACCTTACTAACTATGAGCAGCACAACCTGCCAAAAATAACCCCAATTGCTGGTTTTGCCCTGCTAGGTCCTAGTAGGTCCTTGTGGAGAACTTCCCCCAAACTGTTTGGAACATGCTGGTTGGAGGGGCTGCAAAAGAAATGCCTTTGGGTTAGTCCAGACACAAACTTGCTGTTTGACTAGGCCTGATAGCAAAGGTTTTCAACTGAAATAAACCTAAATAGTATCTCACTCTGTTCTTCATCAACAGGAGGTTCAAGATGTAAGAGGCAAGCATTGTAAGCCGTCTGCAGGATTTCTTACTGTAGGACCCAGACAGCAGATAACCAGTATTAGGGAATGAAAACATTTCACTGTTATCATGCTACACAAAAGCAACGCTTCATGCATTTACATTTTTCCCCCACCAAATTGGCTTGCTTTCACAGTGCTATTTTCATATAGTAAGATGTATTTGTTTTGAGAAAAATGTCTTTATATACAGGTTGGTTTATTACCTAGCACTGAAGGCAGATATGAATTTAAACTAATCCTATGTTATTATATAACATTTTATTTCATTTTCTATGTAGAGGTTCTGCTTTATTTAACTTTCTTTTGGTTCATGCAAGTCTCCTGGAGATTTAAACCTAGAAGGACATGAACTGTACAGTGCAATGATGTTGTGTAAGTAGTGGTGGAGCTCCCTGACCCCTAAAGTCAGGCCAAGAACATAGGAAGGCTCTAAAAAGCATCAGACATTGGTAAGAGTGGACAGCATTATCAGGGGCACCAATTACAGGTATTTTGACTAAGGGATTAAACTCGGAGCTAGAGGACTAAAGCTGTGAGTAGGTGGCTCAATATATCTGCTATTGCAAAGTGCTGGTACATTGATTTGTAGCAGTTGAGTGTGTTAGCAGCCGCAGTACTGATCTGATGTCACCTGGCATTTCCTATGTTCCTGTGTTTCTGACAACAAGTTTTAGCACAAAAGATTTTTTTTTTTAATATCTAACTATGCGATCACGTTGCAAATTGCCGGAGTAGTCAGAGATGCTGCCATGCACTGGGTGTCTGTTACGCCCATGTGCAGGAGGTGGTCTCAGCCACCAGCCTGGGTGGAGGTGCGTTGATATGATCCTTCACCAGCTGTGCAGGATTGTAGCGGCGGCTAACTGAGTGCCCTGGCATCTTTGAGTGCTCTGGATAGATCCAAAAGAGGATATCTGGCCATGTCTTTGGAGAAAAGAGATACCTGGGGCAAGAGAGGAAATAGTGATGGTCTGCCCATTTTGCCAAAAGAGTGGTGTTTCATAGGTGTGGAAGTGAAGGCTACTGTACCAGTAGCAGTGGTCTGTTTGCTCGTGAAATAATATATCTTCTAGAATTTCCTCTGCAAAGTACATCCAGGAAGAAATACCACTTCTTGCACTGACTGCCTCTCTCAACCAGAAATTTCTTTTTCTCAAATCTTACCTGTATAAGCAAGTATCTTTGCTATATAACCTATGGAAAAAGACACCTGAAGTACTGCAGTTAACATATTACACTGTGCACTGTGATCTGGGGGAAGGACACGTTGTCCAAACGGTGTGTGCCACAGTACCTATATTTGTTTGTATCTGTGTGTGTATTGTAAAGCAACTGTAACTGTCTAACATTGTATGTTTTTGTTGGGTGGGTTGCTTCAAAAGGAATCTTCCCTCTTACCCACAGCCTGTGTCAGGAACACTGAAAAGGATGTTTCACTAATCACTCCTTTTTTTGTGGCAGGCATTTTTAATGCCAAAGAGCCATTTTGGCTAGCCCGGGACTGCCTTATTTTCCATTGGATTCAGGTAACAATCTTATATGTATTCTCCTGTCTGTAAAATGGTGCTATTACAGAGTCCTTCAGTTGGGACCAAATTGCCTCGTTTGCTTTTAAGTGGAAATCAAGTACCTTACCTTAAAATATGTGGGTGTGAGTTTGTTTTTCCCTCTATTGTTACCATTAACAATTACTGTTGTTACCAAGCAGGTGCTTTTACTATGATTTGTCTCTGTTTTATAAGGTCTGGTACCACTGTACCTGTGGAGAATTTGACTGTTGATTTTAATGGGAGTAGAATCAGAGTCTCTACTATAGAGGTAAAAGCAGAAAGAACTTGTATGAAAAAATCAAGAGTTTTTTTGTATCTTTCCTGGACTGCACTTTATATCCTACAGTCCATCTCCTGTCCTCACATGAGCATCTGCAACTGCTAATAGTTTGCCAAGAGGCTGACATGTGAGTGTGAAAGCCAAGAATGACTTTGGGGAAAGATGGAAGAGTTTTGGATCTGATGCAGACATGGAACTCGTCTTTCTCACGCCTGGGAAGGGCCATTCCTCACATGTGCTTGCCATCCAACAACAGCTTGAGGTCTGATCTGTTCCCCCTGGAGTTGATGGAGAATTAAATAATCCTGTTTTTAATTCAACAGCATACCTTGCTGATGGTAGAGGCCATGGAGATTTCATTTCTAGGGGGAAACACTAGCTTTCCCTTAAAAGCAGCAGTACAGAAGAGATGTCACCAGTTCAGGCTTACTACCTGAGCAGCCCACAGTGTTGGGTATGGTATTTGGGCACCCAAGCAAGATCGTTCATTTGTGCATATCCCTGGCTACTTCATGTCCCTCCATTCCTTCGTACGGTCTCAAATTCATTGTATTTCAGAGCCCTATACTGCACTGACCTGATGGGGTGGTCGATGAGGCCGTGCAGCCCTGGCAGCATTCTGCCCCAGTCCCCACTAACAGGGAGCACACGGAGATCGGCATCGGCAGGGAATGCTCTCTGGGCACATCCCCACATCCCTGACTGAGTGAACACACTGCCTTGACAGAGGGCAGTGCTGGAGCGTCCCGGCAGACCCCGAGCTCAGCTCCGGGCAGCATAGCTATGTGGTGAGAGTATTGCAGGGAATGGGCAAACTTCCTTTTGTGGAGGCAGATTAGTGGGCATTGCAGGAGCAAACTGTGCTAATGAAAGGGTATTTGCTACTGTGAGACAGGCATCAGTCGCAGAAGGAGAGAAAAGGATCCCTGCAAGGCTAAGGAGCACTTGTAGAGAGGTGATGGGTGAGGCCTGCTGCCTTGTGGGCCTTCCATCCACGGCATTTCTTGGGAATCCCATGGTGTGCCCTGGGCCCTGAGACCCCTGTACTGCTGAGGGTTCACTACACACAACTAAGACCCCTCGGCGAATGGGGCTGCTCCTAGAGCCTGATTCCACTTGCTCTGCTTGCCGGAGCGCAGCTTCCCTTGGGCAAGCTAAGTAGTGTGAGTGCAGGGGTGCAGCAGGCCTGGCCACGAGTCCCTGAAGACGTAGCTAAGTGAGAACCCGCTAAAAGCTCTCTCTTGCCTCACACCAAACTATAACCTTGAGAGGAAAGCTTTCTTTCTGCCTAGTGCGCTTTGCTGAGAAGCACTGAATCGAGAAGAGCCCTTGGCTTTCAGTCACCAGGCTGCTTCAAGTGCCTTGCGCTGCTCACGGGCTTGCGCCCCGTTCCTCATGTGCACAACATAGACTGAACAGGTTGAGGCAGCACTAACAGAAGCCTGCTCGGGAAGGCACTAGATTTCCCTTTCTGCTTTTAACTGTTGACCAAGGAGCAAATCAGGGAAAGGAAGGATGGAGAGATGGGAGTGATATACAGGCCACATGTGAACAAGAAGAGGGAAAAGAGATAACACTGAACCAGTGCTGAAAAGAGCAGATTCCGTAAATGTGAAGTAGTCATGTGTGGTATGTTCCAAACTGCAGCTGTCGAATCCTAAATTTGTTTATTTTTTAAGAATAGATGGTATTTATTGCTGTGCCAAATTATTTTTATTTATATTAGCTTTACACTTGTATATATGAATATCTTATCTGAATTCTGCCTGAGGAAGGATGAAGGTGACTTTTTGATGTATTTTTAACTAATGTGTTTGAGAATAGGTGACTGTTCATTGCTCTTTTGCTGTGAAGGCTATATTCCAAGTTAAATACATGTATTATACTGAAAATGCAGTTCCTATGGAAGTTTCTGTTGCTGTTTTCCTTTTGCTATAACCTGAAGGGTCTTTGTTTTGATTAATGCAATTTATAGTAACCAGGGACTTCTGAGAACTCATTACCTAAAGTCCGGATTTGTTATCTACCAACTCCACATGAAGCCAGATCTTACCTGCAAGCATGAGGCTCTGATGGCGACAGAGAACATAATTATCATGATGAAAGGGCTGCATGAACCTCCCATCTTGTACTCCTTAAGAACTCAGTGTTGTCAGAATGTGGTATATACTGTATTTTATATTTTTATTAAGTAAAAAGAAATATCTTCCCAAATAATGTGAAAAAAAGCTTTTGTATTTGTTTTCCTATAAGGCAGCTTTTATGGAGGAGTTACATTATGCTTTTGAAATTACTTCTTTCATAGAATATTTTGAAAATAAACACATTTATATTGTTGTAATTTCTCTTGATAAATGTGTATGCACTTAATTTTTTCTTAATAAAATTGCCTATCTGAATTAAATGATTACTTGTTTCTAATGTTTTTTTTTTCAATAAAAACAGAATGGTCCCTGCTGGTCCCCCTTCCACAGAGGGAAACACCTCCAGTCTCGAGGTGGGGAATGGCTTTAAAGCCTTGGCCTGTAGGACTGGCTGTGGAGAGCTCAGAGATTTGATGTCCTCAACACCAGACTCTGATGATGTCAGTAGGTATTTGGTGTGAGTTTCCAATGCATCAGCTGAAACCTGGTTTTGTCTGTGCCACAAAAAAACCCCAGGTTCCCTGTCCCCTCCACCACTGCCTGCTCCAACAGGCTGCCCTGGGCCTGTCCTTTGCGGCCCAGGTGAACTCCAGCCCCACATACCCAGTGCTCTGGGCAGAGCAAAGGCCTGGGGTAATTAAACATCTCTCAGCAGAGTGAAATGCTGCTCCAACCTGACGGAGCCCCTTCCTGAGTAAACGTTACTTGGCCAGATCAACACAAGGCCAAAGATGTGCAGAAAAGGCAACTCAAATGACTGACGATCCCTTTACAGATCCAACAGTGATTTAGTAACTGAACATGAAAACCTGAGCAGGTAATTGCTCATGCAGATGGTCAATGAGAGATTTCCAGGCCACAGGGAAAGGCAATGGGAGAAATTAGGTACAGAATTGTGCCTTGTTCTTAAGGAAAGGCCCCATGTTCTGTGGAGCACTTCACTGTATCTTTCATCAGTTCTTTCTTAAACATGGAAGTTTTGGATCTTACTTCCTTAGCAAAACACTGTGGCAATGTATCTGTAAACTGTGTGAGCAAGCGGCTGCCTCGGAAGTAACGGTGAAGCCCCCCTGTTAGCACAGCTGGCTCTCCTCATGGGCAGCCTCCCCGTGCTAACAAGCTGCAGGAAATCAGCTGCTTTCACAGCTTCAGCCATCTTGACATTGATTACGGGCAGGCTTTACTATGCCTTGGTGTAGTGTAGGTTGGGAGGCTGTATGGGAAATGCTTCTGCTTCTTGTGGATTAGCACTAGCATGGAGAACTGATTCTGGAGGTAGGTTCCTTGTGGAAGGTGCTGGTGGATTTTTAAGAGTACTGCTGGAGGGAGGGAACTGAGTTTGTGACTTATTACCTTGTGTGGGTGTCTTATCCTGCCTGTGAGTGCAGGATGGGGTTTATGGCTGTTGGGAAGGAGTGACAGAGTAGCTATCTCCAAATTTTATAACAGAAGCTTGTCTCTGGGGGGTAGATAAGCTCCCTGGTTTTGTGACTGACTTTGTCTCTGGTGCAGATTTAAGAGCCCTTCTCTCTCATGCTGGTGGTACTGTGGC